TTTTCATGGTCTATACAAGGCGTGGATTTTTTACTCCCATAGGCGTGGATTTATTAAAGAATATTTTTTCAGGGTCTATACAAGGCGTGGATTTATTAAAGAATATTTTTTCAGGGTCTATACAAGGCGTGTATTTATTAAAGAATATTTTTTCAAGGACTCCCATAGGCGTGGATTTATTAAAGAATATTTTTTCAGGGTCTATACAAGGCGTGTATTTATTAAAGAATATTTTTTCATGGTCTATACAAGGCGTGGATTTATTAAAGAATATTTTTTCAAGGACTCCCATAGGCGTGGATTTATTAAAGAATATTTTTTCAGGGTCTATACAAGGCGTGGATTTATTAAAGAATATTTTTTCAGGGTCTATACAAGGCGTGTATTTATTAAAGAATATTTTTTCATGGTCTATACAAGGCGTGGATTTATTAAAGAATATTTTTTCAAGGACTCCCATAGGCGTGTATTTATTAAAGAATATTTTTTCAGGGTCTATACAAGGCGTGGATTTATTAAAGAATATTTTTTCAAGGACTCCCATAGGCGTGGATTTATTAAAGAATATTTTTTCAGGGTCTATACAAGGCGTGGATTTATTAAAGAATATTTTTTCAGGGTCTATACAAGGCGTGTATTTATTAAAGAATATTTTTTCAGGGTCTATACAAGGCGTGGATTTATTAAAGAATATTTTTTCAGGGTCTATACAAGGCGTGGATTTATTAAAGAATATTTTTTCAGGGTCTATACAAGGCGTGGATTTATTAAAGAATATTTTTTCAGGGTCTATACAAGGCGTGGATTTATTAAAGAATATTTTTTCAGGGTCTATACAAGGCGTGGATTTATTAAAGAATATTTTTTCAGGGTCTATACAAGGCGTGGATTTATTAAAGAATATTTTTTCAGGGTCTATACAAGGCGTGGATTTATTAAAGAATATTTTTTCAGGGACTAGCACCAGGCGTGGATTTATTAAAGAATATTTTTTCAGGGACTAGCACAAGGCGTGGATTTATTAAAGAATATTTTTTCAGGGACTAGCACAAGGCGTGGATTTATTAAAGAATATTTTTTCAGGGACTAGCACAAGGCGTGGATTTATTAAAGAATATTTTTTCAGGGACTAGCACAAGGCGTGGATTTATTAAAGAATATTTTTTCAGGGTCTATACAAGGCGTGGATTTATTAAAGAATATTTTTTCAGGGTCTATACAAGGCGTGGATTTATTAAAGAATATTTTTTCAGGGTCTATACAAGGCGTGGATTTATTAAAGAATATTTTTTCAGGGTCTATACAAGGCGTGGATTTATTAAAGAATATTTTTTCAGGGTCTATACAAGGCGTGGATTTATTAAAGAATATTTTTTCAGGGTCTATACAAGGCGTGGATTTATTAAAGAATATTTTTTCAGGATCCATACAAGGCGTGGATTTATTAAAGAATATTTTTTCAGGATCCATACAAGGCGTGGATTTATTAAAGAATATTTTTTCAGGGTCTATACAAGGCGTGGATTTATTAAAGAATATTTTTTCAGGGTCTATACAAGGCGTGGATTTATTAAAGAATATTTTTTCAGGGTCTATACAAGGCGTGGATTTATTAAAGAATATTTTTTCAGGGTCTATACAAGGCGTGGATTTATTAAAGAATATTTTTTCAGGGTCTATACAAGGCGCGGATTTCATAAGCGTAGGATTTTTAAACGCAATTTTTTTTCTTATTATCCTTTTAACCCACTTACAAACTAAAATGCCCTCCCGCACTTATACAACAATAATAATTAGTATTCAATTAACACCAATCAATCAAACAAACTTACCTCTCCATTTTCCGGTGGATCACCATTGCCAAATGTGGAGGCCACCACAATTAGCAGAGCCTCGTGTTCAATCGATGAAACGTCGTAATCAGCCATGCAATAGAGCTGAAATGATAAATAAGTTCGCACATTAAGTTTTTTCTTCTTTTTGTGTGTTTCAATAGTCATCTAATTAATGCTGGTAACCAAATTACAATACCCTCAAAGAGGGTTTGGAGGGCTACATTTAACACTGCCCACAACTAATCTCAAATAAAATAATGAAAATGGCAGCAACATTATCCAAGGAGTTAAGAAAACGATTAACGTTGATGTTAATAGGTTAATGTTATTGACTGTTACAGCAACAAACTGCTAAGTGCGTATTTAGGGGTTAATGTGATTGCTGACCATTGACCTTCAATGGTGAAACTTAGAAATGTGTTTTATTTATAGAACATCGTATGAAGTTCAATAATAACTCGAAAGCTAATGCTAATGCACATAATATATATTGATACTTGCTTCGAAATAACTTGTAAGGTTTGACGGATTTTATTTCACTGGAAATGTTTCCATGTTAGTTTAGTATTTCGAAATAACATCCCTATAAGCGTCATATATTTTAAAGATCAACTGAAATGGCTGTAATTTGTAATTTCGGATTCTCAGAGGATAACATATCAACTCTCTTAAAACTGTCAATATTGACCCATGTTTTGAAATAGTCTGCATATGTCAAAGGGATAAGAACCCGTACCCCATAATTAGGCATATTTAAGGTGTTTTTAAGATAGAAAAAAGGTGGTTGTATTTTGTAACTTCGGGTATAAAAAATCACTTCGAAGAAACTACTCTATATTGATCCATATTTTGAAATAACCCCCACACATGATCTCACTGGTTTTGAGATTATTTAAAGGACATAGCATAGCAATGCCAATGATTGGAAATTTAAGTTGATGGAACTATTAGACTTTGAATATTATGAAGTTATGCCATTTTTAGCAGTAAATTTACTATTCGATTTTTTTATTCCTCGATCGTCTTAATTATGTTTATTTCATGTCATACCCCTTAAGAATCTTCTTTATGGAGTTATATGACATATTTTGAATATCCTCCTTTTATATGAGACTGCAAAAAGGCTGTTAAAGATATTTTATAATTATAAGACCCACAAAATAATCAAAAATTCCTATTTTGAGGCCTCTTAACAGTATGTAGTGTAAGAATACCTCTTCTATATGGAGAAAGCGGACTGCTTGATGGTCGTTTTGATCTAAAGGCTCTATGTCCATGAGTTAGTTTTAAAACATATCGCGGATGCCACACATTATTGGCCCAGACGCCAGACCCGTCTGTGTACCGCTGTACCGATATACCGATATGACTCAGAAGAACAATATTCCAACTAAGGACTCTCTTTTGTACTTCTCTCTCCAGATCATGAAGTCCCTTCCTGACATGCCTGTGTAGTGAATGCCTATGCATGAGGTGGTGTCTCCGATGGGTGATCTTGTAACACTCAAACATATATTACATCGACAACATCTTGTTGGGTTGACACACAGACACAGATTCATGCAGGCTATATAATTTGACCCCTAGAATCTTTGGATAATTATTGGTCGTAATTATGAACCCATCGTTCGGAACATTCAGGGGTAGTCGCATATCCGTTCACTGTGATAAATAGTGTGTCATTGATATAGTGGCAGATTTTTTCATATTTCTCGCCTGGAAAAACCTCTGCTATGTCCTTGAGTTAGTTTTAAAACTTATTGCAGATGCCACACATTATTGGCCCAGACGCCAGACCCGTCTGCGTCTGGGCAAATGGTTCTATATAACGATTTGACTCAGAAGAACAAAATTCCAGCCAAGGACTGTCGTCTCAAACAAAAAATAAAAATATCGTGTGGTTCGACAGACCAAACTCTTTATAACCTCCTGTGGCTTATGTATTAGTGGCAGATTTTTCCATATTCCTTGATTGGAAAACTCAGCTATGTTCATAAGATAGGTGTTCCATCTGTCGCAGATGTCATCAATTTTGGGCATAGACGCCATGATGGACTAATCACCTCCGCATTTATTGATCTTAATAACATCCGGTGGGCTTATAATTCGCGAAAGTTGGAGGTAAAGCAGTTTTGCAGGGGTTTCAACCTAGCAAATAGAAGTAAAAAACGTCGACAGGTTCGGTGGTCCGAACTCTTTATTCTGTGGTCTTGGACTTAGTGATCGACTTTTGCATATTCCTCGCCTGGAAAAACTCTGCTACGTCCATGAAATATTTGTTCAACATGTGGCAGATGCCAACAATATTTGTGCCAGAAGCCATTATCGTATAATAACACCGTACATAATGATCTCAGTACCGTCTGGTGGGTGTTGAATTCGCAAAAGGTAGAGGTTACACAGGTTTCGGAGATATCTTTCCGCCGCTGAAGGTTGTATGTACGGAATTGACTCGGAAGAATAATTTTCTAACCAAGGGCTGCCGTCCCAGCAAGTACAAGTAAAAACGTCGTAAGGTTCAGCACGTCCTCTTATGGTTTTTTTTATTTTTTTCCACATTCATCGCCCATATCCATGAGACAGATGCCATAAATTCTTGGTCCAGACGCCATTATCGTACATTAACTTATGAAGGTAATAATGTTAGTCCGGTGGACGTGGAATTCCAGCAATGTAGAGGTTAAACAGTTCCGGAGTTATCACCCTTTCATATCACCCTGGTACTATGTACCGGATGGATTCGGAAGAAAAATTTTCCTACTCAGAGTTGTCGCCCCAGCAAATACACAAAAGTCGTTAGGTTCGGTGAACCGAACTCTTTATAGCTCCTACCATGAGGTTAGTATTCAAAATACCTAAAATAGTTCGGAATGTTTACTGGCCCCTTTTTTATAGTAATTGATTGGTAGGAATATTTGAAACCGAAATGAGGATTTAATATATCAAACTATAACCCATTCGATTGAAAAACCTATCCAAAAATCCCCAAAATACCGAATAATGGGGTCTGCATATCTCGAAACTTAGATAAATACCAATGGCTTTTGGTAGGAAGATTGCCCACTTTACCCATGAGAATCCAACATATTAACTAAAGTCATTTTCTTGTAGTGGGACTTCTCAAAAAATGGACCAACATTGACAAATTTCTACCCAATGAGAACCAGAATTACGGGCAATTGAAGAATGTGTACAAAATCCCCAAAATATCGATATACCTAAACGTAGATCCCATTATCTCTACCAAACATCCTATGTGCAAAATTTCGAAGCTTTATCTATTTTAACTGACGTATATGGAACCAGTAAGGAAAGTAGTAAAGTCGGACTGGGCCGACTATATGATATCCTTCACCACTTCACCACTAAATCTGAACGATTTCCACGAAACTTAGCACACATCATTCTAGACTTAATTAAGTACGCCATACCAAAGTTCGTGCAAATCAATGGATATATAGGGACTTTGGTACACCATTTACCTGAAATCGAACGAAAATATATATGTGAGCTATATCTAAATCTGAACCGATTTTTCCCAATTTCAATAGGGTTCGTCCTTGGGCCAAAAAAGTGAGCTGTGACAAATTTCATCCAAATCGGATCATAAATGCGACCTGTACTTTGTTTACCATTTAACATCAACAGACGGACGGGCGGACATGCATAAATCGACTCAGAAAGTGATTCTATGTATATTCTCAAAGGGACCATGGGTCTATCTCAATTCCTTTTGCCTGTTACAAAGACATAATACCCTGTACCACAGTGTGGTGAAGGGTATAAAATGGCGAAGTTATAAAATTGATTTTAATTTAAGCTATTTTGCAACATTTTATTAAGGCCTCCTAACAGTTTGTGCCGTTTTTCTTCGCATAAAGAACTGTCCTCTCGAAATTATGCCTAAACCGAATATATTTCAATGCAACAGTAAATATTGCCCTTGATCTACAAAGACAGGTATGCAACATATCGATGAACTGATGTATAACCGTATTCCCGCACTTAAATCCTAGAAAAAAAATGATATTTCGTGCTTAAAAACAGGTAAAACTTTTCAAATGTATAAAGGAAAAATCGAAAACCAATTTCGAATCATAGGAAATTCCATCAGGTTCTGGAACGGAGTATATAATGTCTATTTAAATTTTAATTTAATTAAAAAAAATACCTTCCAATGTGCATTTAATACATTTATTTCCATTAAGTATCCTTATAAAGACCCTGAATTTTAACATCTTTAATTTTTCTAATAAATTTCCATCTACACATCATACTAATTTGAAATATGCCCCCTCAAAAAGCCCGGACAACAAAGCCAAATCCAATATTTCTACACAAAAATAAGTATTTCATAACAAAGCCAATTTATATATTTTTGGGCGACAATACTCAACAGGACATCGGACACCCTCTCCCCCTCTATCCCTCCATGAAAATATATTACAGATAATAATAACCATGTCTGACATAAGTCAATTTATTAATTTGAATCCCCTGAAGACCTGCTGAGTCAACGATACAAATCTTATTAAAGATATCTTTTGGAAAACTGGACAAACTTTTTTGTTGTTGTTGTTCGTTTTTGGCTTTTATGTTTAACAGCAACAATACGTTCGGATTCTACTTCACAGCCTCCCCAGTCCCCGCTCTTTAATGTCTGGTATCACAAATCACACAAAATGTGTGACAATAATAGAAACCAACAACATATTGCCATTCATCATCCAGAAGTGTTTGTTGGCAAATTTAATGTGAAGGGGAATGGAGAGAACTCCCACTTGGTGTCGAGACAATTGTTTATAATTTGATGTTAGATATGTACCATATGTCATCAGGGGGGTCTATGAGTTTATGAGCTTAAGGGGAGGAGGGAAGGTAGATTTTAGATAGTGATGAGGAATATTTTTTTTATTATGTGATAATTACTGTGGGAATGTTAAAAAAAAACTCTGCGACATGACAAGGGCTGATGTGCATACATCAGGGTGTATGAAAAATAGACAGTCACTTAACAGCAAATAAATCATACGCCACCATGATCTACTGAGTGGCAAAAATTTGACTATACAATGCATTGGAGAAATAATATTTTTTGCCTGATTGACTTTATCGATTATGAATTGAGTTTTATTTGGAAAACATTCAGATTCAGAGGTTCAAAAAAACATTTAATTCAATAGCCCTTAATAATATTTCCTCGTGATTGCCCATGCTTTTTATATGACCAATAATTCAACAGGGTTTTTTTTTTTAAATCCCAAAGTGTTTATATAAAATATCTGCCATATTTATATTTTCTGCAGATATTTTTTCATCATTATCAAAAATAATATTTACGTTTGTTTGTTTTTTTTTTTTAACTCACCTGAGCATTGAATGCATGCCCCAATAATTCGCACAATTGTTTGGCATACTGTTCCGATTTTCCTGTTTCGGTTGCATACAGAACGGTTGCTTTGATACGTTTCGATAAAGCACGTCCAAATAGTTTCGATGTAAATTTCACAGCCCTGGAAAAGAAAGAAAACATTAAAAAAAATATTTTAAAAAATTGCAAAGAAAAATATATAACGACAATAGCAAATGGGATTGTATAAAGAATGTTTTTCTAAGCCTCAGCAAGGCGTGGATTTCCTAAAGATTTTGGATTTTGGATTTTTTAAAGAATATTTTTAATATCATCCCAAGGCGTGGATTTCTTAAAGAATATTTTTCTAAGGCCAATCCAAGGCGAGGATTTCTTAAAGAATATTTTTCTAAGGCCAATCCAAGGCGTGGATTTCTTAAAGAATATTTTTCTAAGGCCATTCAGGGCGTGATTTTTTTAAACAACATTTTTCTAAGGCCATAATCCTTTAAGAAATCCACGCCTGTTAAAACAGAGGACTCTCTATAGGTCTTCTCTACTATAGAGGACCTCTTCAGATACCTTCTACACTAAAGAAGACCGCATTAGAGTTCTTCTTAGAGAATTTCTTCAGAGATCTGCTATACTATAGAGGACCTCTCCACAGGACTTCTATACTATAGAGGACATCTTCTGATGCCTTCTAGACTAAATATGATATATCTTTCGAGGCCTTCTAAACTACGGATGATCTATTCAGGAGTTTCCACTTCGATAGAGAACCTCTTCAGTGGTCTTCTATACTATAGAGGACCTTTTTAGAAGTCTTCTATTCGGAAGAGGACCTCTTCAGAGGTCTTCTATACGATGGAGGACTCCTTCAGAGATCTTATTACTTTAGAGGAACTTTAGATGCCTTCTAAACTACGAATGACATCTTCAAAGGTTTAAAATTCGACGGAGGACCTCTTCAGTGGTCTTCTTTACTACAGAGGAGCTCTTTGAAAGTTTTCTATACACAGAGGACTTCTTCAGAGTAGTTCTATACTATATTACCTATTCAGAGTTCTTCTAGACTATAGAGGACATATTCAGAGGGCATATATGCTATAGAGGAACTATTCAGATGTATTCTATCCTCAAAAAAACTGTTCTTATCTCAAGAGAACTTCTTCAGTGGAAGTCTATTGTCTAGAAACCTGTTAAAAATTATTGTTTAAAAAATCTACGCCTGTTGAAGGTCCTTAAAATTATTGTTTAAAAAATCTACGCCTGTTGAAGGTCCTTAAAATTATTGTTTAAAAAATCTACGCCTGTTGAAGGTCCTTAAAATTATTGTTTAAAAAATCTACGCCTGTTGAAGGTCCTTAAAATTATTGTTTAAAAAATCTACGCCTGTTGAAGGTCCTTAAAATTATTGTTTAAAAAATCTACGCCTGTCTGATGCCTTGGAAAAATGTTGTTTAAAAAATCTACGCCTGTTGAAGGTCCTTAAAATTATTGTTTAAAAAATCTACGCCTGTTGAAGGTCCTTCAAATTATTGTTTAAAAAATCTACGCCTGTTGAAGGTCCTTAAAATTATTGTTTAAAAAATCTACGACTGTTGAAGGTCCTTAAAAATTATTGTTTAAAAAACCTACGCCTGTTGAAGGTCCTTAAAAATTATTTTTTAAAAATCCACGCCTGTTAAAGGTCCTTAAAATGATACTTTAAAAAATCCACGCCTGTTGATATCCACGCCTGTTGAAGGTCCTTAAAAAATATTCTTTAAAAAATCCACGCCTTTTGAAGGTCCTTAAAAATTATTCTTTAAAAAATCCACGCCTTTTGAAGGTCCTTAAAAATTATTCTAATGGTTCCGCATTGTATAGGAGACTTGCAGTCTTTACTAATTAGTATTAGTTTAATTAATTTCTGTGTTAAACTAACTTCCCCTTGACAAAAAATAATTTTTAATTGAATTTAAAGAATTTGTTACGATTACCAGTACATCTGGCCGAATGTCCTTGTGAATAGTGGAAATAAAGAAAAACTGTCCAACATTACAACAAAGACTGTGGCTATTTATTTCCACGACATGGTTTACATCAAGTCACTTTTTAATCTGCCTTCGCCCACCACAAACACAGATTTACAACTAATTTTCATGAAATCGTCCACAATTCCCCGGTCACCTATTTCCACACTTTCCCTATCAGTTTAACTCCCTGTGGCACCAACAAAATACCAACAACCAAAATATCTGTCATCGTCATCATCATCACAGCGAGCATTTATGATGGCATTTCCTCAGTGTTTCAGGTTTGGTTTTTTTTGTTGTTACTCCTGCTGCTGCTGTTGTTGTCGACACTGACGACGAGGTCGATGTTTGCTGTTGACTTTTGTGTCCGCCATTTAGAGGGTAAAAATAAATAGCAAAGCAAAGGAGAAAAAACAAAACGAAAATCCGCCAACAAAACCCGGCAGCCGAAAAATAAAAATGAACTACACTAAGCTGAACTTTGCTTTGTTGTTGCAAAACAATTACAAGAACATCAACAACATGTCATTTGCAAACCTCCAAACAGCAGCAACAACATCAGCCGATGTAACAACAGTCGTCCCAGCAGCAGTTTAACAGAGTCACAATGATAAGGGACACACACACAGATATACAGCCACACACTCACATCTACACACTGCCACAGAGTCCTGCCAATTCAATGAAACACTGTGGCGTATACGGTTTATTTTTTCACTCTCCACTCGTGTCTAAACAATAACACCGTCTGTCGTCATTCGTGTATGACGTTCATGTGAACGACATAAGTGACAGCATGTTGTGCCGCCAATTCATTGTTGTTGTGTTGCTTTGTTGCCTCTCTCGAAACACTCATCTAAAATAGGACATTGTTTTTATTTTTATGGCCTAGTAAACAGTTAAGTGGTTCGAGCAGGGGCAAATGTCCTGCAGGGCAGTATTGGAGCTAATTTTAAACAGAAATGTTTTTTGAGGCTATATTTTTTAGTCGATGAAATTTAATTTTTTACACGTGGATTTTTTCAGGACCTTCAACAGGCGTGTTTTTTAAAGAATATTTTTGAAAGGACCTTCAACAGACATGGATTTTTTTAAATAATATTTTTTCAAGGACACACAAAGGCGTGGATTTTTTAAAGAATTTTTTTATGCGTGGATTTTTTTCAGGACCTTCAACAGCCGTGTTTTTTAAAGAATATTTTTTCAAGGACTATCTGAGGCGTGGATTTTTTATAGAATATTTTTCAAGGACTTACAAAGGATTAGATTTATTAAAAAATATTTTTTCAAGGACTTACAAAGGATTAGATTTATTAAAGAATATTTTTTCAAGGACTCACAAAGGCGTGGATTTTTTAAAGAATATTTTTTCAAGGACTCACATAGGCGTGGATTTTTTAAAGAATATTTTTTCAAGGACTCACATAGGCGTGGATTTTTAAAGAATATTTTCTCAAGGTCCTACCAAAGGCGTGGATTTTTAAAGAATATTTTCTCAAGGTCCTACCAAAGCCGTGGATTTTTAAAGAATATTTTCTCAAGGTCCTACCAAAGCCGTGGATTTTTAAAGAATATTTTCTCAAGGTCCTACCAAAGGCGTGGATTTTTGAAGAAAATTTTTTTAAGGACTTACATAGGCGTGGATTTTTAAAGAAGATTTTTTAAGGACTCACATAGGCGTGGATTTTTAAATAATATTTTCTCAAGGTCCTACCAAAGGCGTGGATTTTTTAAAGAAGATTTTTTCAAGGACTCACATAGGCGTGAATTTTTAAAAAATATTTTCTCAAGGTCCTACCAAAGGCGTGGATTTTTTATAGAAGATTTTTTCAATGACTCACAAAGGCGTGGAATTATTAAAGAATATTTTTCAAGGGCCAACTGAGGCGTGGATTTATTAAAGAATATTTTTCCAACGACTCACAAAGACGTGGATTTATTAAATAATATTTTTTCAAGGACTCACAAAGGCGTGGATTTATTAAAGAATATTTTTTCAAGGACTCACAAAGGCGTGGATTTCTTAAAGAATATTTTTTCAAGGACTCACAAAGGCGTGGATTTCTTAAAGAATATTTTTTCAAGGACTCACAAAGGCGTGGATTTATTAAAGAATATTTTTTCGTGGATTTATTAAAGAATATTTTTCCAAGGACTCACAAAGACGTGGATTTATTAAAGAATATTTTTTCAAGGACTCACAAAGGCGTGGAAGTTTTAAAGAATATTTTTTCAAGGACCTTCAACAGGCGTGGAAGTTTTAAAGAATATTTTTTCAAGGACTCACAAAGCCGTGGATTTATTAAAGAATATTTTTTCAAGGACTCACAAAGCCTTGGATTTATTAAAGAATATTTTTCAAGGGCCAACTGAGGCGTGGATTTATTAAAGAATATGTTTTCGTGGATTTATTAAAGAATATTTTTCCAAGGACTCATAAAGACGTGGATTTATTAAAGAATATTTTTTCAAGGACACACAAAGGCGTGGATTTATTAAAGAATATTTTTTCAAGGACACACAAAGGCGTGGATTTATTAAAGAATATTTTTCCAAGGACTCACAAAGGCGTGGATTTATTAAAGAATATTTTTTCAAGGACTCACAAAAGCGTGGATTTATTAAAGAATATTTTTTCAAGGACTCACAAAGGCGTGGATTTATTAAAGAATATGTTTTCAAGGACTCACAAAGGCGTGGATTGTTTAAAGAATATTATTAAGGACCTTCAACAGGCGTGGATTGTTTAAAGAATATTTTTAAGGACCTTCAACAGGCGTGGATTGTTTAAAGAATATTTTTAAGGACCATCAACAGGCGTGGATTGTTTAAAAAATATTTTTAAGGACAATCAACAGGCGTGGATTGTTTAAAAAATATTTTTTTCGTAAAAAATTTATAAAATTTTCGTTTAGCAAGATTTTATAATTTTAAGGTGCAGATTTCTTAAAAAGATATTTTTTCGAAAATTTAAAAAATATATATTTAAAATAATTTCCATTTTTTTTTCAATCTCAATTTCTCTAGCTTAATATGTGACGACCGTTGTGTATCAACCTCTCCATCAAAGCCACCTCTTCAGACATATGCACTTGTGTCATATTATTTTATGCATCTCTGAGGATAACATAAAAACTTATGACGACATTCCACAACACAGAA